ACGCGCAAATTTGTTAAGTGTTTGAATCTCTCTTAATTCTTAGCCCCTACATCAGCCAACCTAGGTAAACCACACTTCCTGTGCTTTGAAATTTCTGCTTATGGTATGCAGCGACAATGGGAAGCTACAGACCATCACAAAATCTATGGGCACTAAGACGCCCTACCGAAAATTAATGGCGGAACCTGGACGTTTTACATTCCTACAGGATCTTTTGATAACATGAAGGACATTACTTTAGCCAGGATAAAAAAAAATCTAAATAGACAGAGAATAAAGGGTGTCCCATATGAATGTATACACATTTTAAATGATTGTAAACTTGATGTTTATCAGAATTTTATTATTTGAAAAATGTAAAAGTATTTACAAGTATCAGTTTATTCTTCTTCCACCGAATTTTGACTCTATTTTAAATAATTAAGAAATAGAGAAGCCATTGAACATGAATGCGCTCAAATACCAGGGGAATTGTTTCATGGCGTTTGCGATTCCTTTTCTTCGTAATGTGAGCAGTGTCTGGATTAAGTGGATGTCAGTTTGAGCACATGCAGTGAAAAAACAATAAAATGAGACTTTTAAATATTTTTAAATTTTTGAAATAAGTAAACTACAATAAACACCAAGTTTACAATTATTTAAAATGTGTATACATTTTTGGGACACTCTGTATATCGATGGGGAGTTGATTTTGGACACTCGTCCTAATCATTTGCTCTTTGAGTGTTCGATTGGCTTCAAGCCTCTACTGCGATGAATCTAAGTCCACTTGGTATCTTTACGGGAAATTGATCTGCATAACAAAGTTAAATACTCATAAGGAAATTAGAAGCTTAATACGCTCATCTATTCACTCTATGATTTTTTTACTTAGGTCTGAAATAATTATTGTATAAGTGATTACTTAAAAGTACATAAAGGATTTGAAAATCAAGGATACAGTCTCAGTCAGGGGATCCAAATTCCTGAAAAAGAAAAAAATGGGTTGGCGGTAAGGTGGATAAGTTAAGGGTAAACAGGACGGATATGAATAACAAATAGACTATAACCCATTAAGCCAAATTAGTAAATCGTAGAATTACCTGAAGTGATGTAAAGGTGTCCCAAAATTATGATTTAATAGGAGAGGTGACGTAAAGTTAGAGGCGAAAATGCATAAACGTGCATCACCGAGGTGTGATATCACACTTATTTGATGTTTCAATATTTTCATGGTGCTTTACAATCGTTCGCCAACGCTACATAGAGAATCCAGCTCGGATATCTCATTGTAAATAAGGGGTAAATACAAACGTGCTATGCACTGTCATTCAAAAAATACACTAGGGTGGCAGGTTCTTCAGAGAACTTTACTTAGTTGGCACCCAACTACATGATCTGTGATTAGCGCAAAAAAGATATTTCCCAGGTTCAATTTAACCACGTCTACACGTGCTCTCAATTGGCCCTGTAGATACCATCACCGGCGAGGGCTAGTCTATGTGAGATAACACCCTGGAAGAAGTAACCTTCACATAGGTGCAGCACACAACCGAGAACAAAAACGGAGTATTTTCGAGACGGATGAGCTGCCTCGGAAATACACAAAAGTTTTTAGACAAGCAGTGATTGTTTCATCTTGGGACAGAGATTATGCGAAGTTCAAAGATCATATCTGTCTCATTGCTTTGGCGTACTATTTTGTCTACTTTGCCTGAGTGGTGTTGTTCTCTCGAATTTCTTAAAAAAATATTCACGAAATTAAAAAAACACTTCGCTGTCAAGTATAAACTTCCAGAAGAATACAAACAATAGTCCACCAGATTCACTTTAGAGGAATTACTTTAAAATCGACTAAAGAAGGTTTTCTATTTGGGCATATTATTTGAAGATAGTACATTGCGCAGCTGCAAAGATAATCGGCAATAGGGTCTGCGTTGTTGTGACGCAAAGTTCGTGGAAAACCCGGTTCCACATGCGAGTGCGCAGGCTTGAGGAGGCAACATACAAATTCGCAGAAACCCTTCAATTTTGACGATAGTGAAATCAGAGACGTTGCGGTTTGTATGGTGTGGGTAAACCAACAATCCTGGAGGGCCTTAGCTTGTAGGTAAAAAGTTCACCATGAATAAATATGACCAGTTTTCTGGTATTCTACACTAGTCAGTATTTTTTATGAGTGTCACGTCTGATTTGCACGGTGAGTTGTCAAGAACGAATTCCAGTTATCTAAGCGGATCAAAAAAAGTTAAGAATAACTAGCTTATTTTGAAAAGGCAAGGAGCTTACTTTTGGCTA